GGCCCGGGAGCCCTAGGGCCGTGTGAGTGGGAACCTGGCTGCATGGTGGTTACGGGCTTCCTCGTGTGCTCGGTGTGGTCACATGCACGTGCACACAGCTCCCGGGAGGCCGCGTGTGCGCTCACGGCCAGAGCCACAGGTCAGCGCTTCCGGTTTGTGTTTTGAGCGTTTCTCACAGGAGTGCCTTTAGCCACTAGAAAAGGCTCCTTTGAGGGACTGTCCTTCCATGTGGAGCTCAGAAAACGCCCTCCGTCGCCAGGCGCGAGGAGGCAGGAGGAATACGCCTCCGCGCTCCAGGGGCTGGCCGGGAGGGTGGGATTAAGTGCCATTTCTGTTTTAGACTTCTTTACTTCGACACTTAAATGTTCAGGGAGAAGAAGTGCAGGTTTTCTTTAAATGTGTGATGATCGCTGCTTTTGGGGCCTTGTTCCAAACCCCCACGGAATGACGCCTGTTTTCTCTCCGTCAGCTTCGCTTCTTTGCAAACGCTTTCACCTTGACGCCGTACAATGGAGCCGAGGCCCTGGTAGGTGGGGGCCCCCGGGCGATGGTGGCCGGCACTCGGGCTTCCCGGGAGGTCACCTGTGGGTCAGCCTGGAGCAGTGATGGCAAACCTATGACACGCGTGTCAGAGGTGACACGCAAACTCATTTTTTTGGTTGATTTTTCTTTGTTAAATGGCATTTAAATATATAAAATAAATATCAAAAATATAAGTCTTTGTTTTACTATGGTTGCAAAGATCAAAAAATTTCTATATATGACACGGCACCAGAGTTAAGTTAGGGTTTTTCAAAATGCTGACACGCCCAGCTCAAAAGGTTCGCCATCGCTGGCCTAGAGGCAGCAAAGCCCAGGCCACTTCCTGGGACGGAGATGCTCCTTCCTCCGTTCACATCGGAGTCGAGCTGTTGCTGTTGGGAAACCAACGTGTTTACTTACTGCGCTCCGGCTGGGGCTGCCGCGCCCCCTCGCTGGGGCCGACGCTGCTAATGGCTCACGGTCATCGTTTCTGTCGGACACACAGGACGTCCCCAGGGTCCTCTACTGCTGGGTCAGGGCCCGCTGGCCGCACCGTCTGGGTGAAGTCCCCCACTTAGTCACTCTCTGTGTGTCTGTCCCTCACTCCCCAGCGCTCCTTCAGGACAAGGGCAAAGGCCACCAACAGAACTTTAAACTGCCTTAATCATAGGAAGAGACGCTCAGTCTTACACTGAGAAATGCAAACCAAAGTCACAGTGAAGCTTCCAACTCCGAGGGTGGAGATGAGGGAGTTTGCGATGTTGCCTCTGGGCTGGGGTCGGTGGACCCCACAGGACAGTGAACACGGTCAGTGCGCAAACCCAGCCATTCCGGCTTTGGTGTTTATTGTCTCTGTGTGCTCAGACTCCAGGTAACGCTGGACTGTCCCTCATCACAGTGCGGCTGTGACAGCAAAGACCTGTACGTCCGTCCATTGGAAACTGGTTATATAGATTGTGGAATGCCGGCTGCTTAGAAAGAGAATGAAGCAGACCCGCTCACCCTGAGTAAAATGTCTGCAGACGCTTGCGGGGTGTGGGGTCCTGCTTCCCTGTCAGGGCGAGCAGAGGCCCCACTTCCAGCAGATGTGTGGTCGTGGGTGAACACGAGATGCTGGTCACCTTTGCTTCCCAAGAGGGGACGGAGAGGAGGGGACAGAGAGGAGGGACTGAGAGGAGGGGACAGAGAGGAGGGACGGAGAGGAGGGGATGGAGAGGAGGGACGGAGAGGAGGGACGGAGAGGAGGGACGGAGAGGAGGGACGGAGAGGAGGGGACGGAGAGGAGGGATGGAGAGGAGGGGACGGAGAGGAGGGGACGGAGAGGAGGAATGGAGAGGAGGGACGGAGAGGAGGGGACGGAGAGGAGGGACGGAGAGGAGGGGGCGGAGAGGAGGCGCGGCGGGAAGGGGGCTCCCGGTGGAGTGCCGGTGCTTGTCTGTCACTGAGGCGACCGCTGTTTCTGTGAGTTACCTGGTGAGTGGGGCGCCATGAGCTTTAATTTGGGGATTAAGAGAAGAGGCTTTTGCTTCAGGTGCTCTTCAAAGGCTGCCGACAAGCAGGCCGCCCTCTCCCTTCGAGTCCCAGCAGCGGGTCGTGGAGCCGGACAGCGAGCTGGTCGAGAGGACTTCTAGTCCAAGTCCCCACCGGCCGCACCCTCTTCCTTTCCAGGTGTGGCTCTTCCGCCAGAAGCCGGAGTCCCTCAACCCTCTGACCAAGTACCTGAGCGCCACCACTGGCTTCGGGAGCAACTACGTGACGACAGAGAAGGTAGGCTGCCCGTTGTCCCGGGGCGGCTCCGGCCGTTCCCCGTGGCCGCCTCAGTCCTCCACGCGGGCGAGCGCCCGCCCGTTCCCACAGTGTTGGTGTCGTTCCCCGCCACCGGTTCCGGTTCCCTTCCAGATGGACCTCGACGACGACACTGCTGAGAAGTTTTACCGGAGCCTCCTGGAGCTGGAGAGGCACCTGCGGGCCACCCTGCTGAGCACCGACTAGTGGAGCGACGGTGGCCGAGCACGCGCCCTCTGTCCTGTGCCCGGGCCCCTGGCGCGGGGGATGGTGCTGTTTGTGATGAAGTGAACTCTCCGTCTCCCTTCTGTCCCGCGTTCTCTCCAAGGCTGTGTGTGCTCGTGGAAAAGGTTCACAAGTGAAAATCACTTGGCTGTTCTCCAGAATGGTGGCCCACCCAGCTCAGCCAGAACCCCCGCCGCCACCTCCTGTCGGGGCTCCTGTCCCACCAGCTGGAGCCCCAGCCAGGCTCCGGGCCAGGCCTGGCCTCGAGGAGCCAACATGTGGGCACACGGGTCCTCCTGTTGGCCGGTCCTGGTGGGGACACGGCCACTCTGAGTGACAGGCTCAGCTGTGCCCTTGTCCCAGGAGCATTTTCTTAGGCCTTTCCCTTAATCTTCCCACTGCTCCTACCAGTCCCAGGCTCCAGCCTGGCCTCTCCTTCAGGCGCCACCTGGCTGTCGCAGGAACTAAGGAACTAGTGTGCTGGGGCCGCCTCAATTATTTCTTACAATTTTTTTAAATTTAAGGTGACAATTTAAAAATATTTTTTTATTGATTTCATAGAGGAAAGGAGAGGGAGATAAAGATAGAAGCATCAATGATGAGAGAAAATCATCAATTGGCTGCCTCCTGCATGCCCCCTACTGGGGACTCAGCCCACAACCTGGGCATGCGCCCTGACCTTGACCAGGAATCGAAACGTGACATCCTGGTTCATGGGTCAACGCTCACCACTTAGCCACACCGCCGGGCTTTCTTACCGTATTTTAAAAGCGTCATCTTGCCGAAACCGGTTTGGCTCAGTGGATAGAGAGTCGGCCTGCGGACTCAAAGGTCCCAGGTTCGATTCCGGTCAAGGGCATGTACCTGGGTTTCGGGCACATCCCCAGTAGGAGATGTGCAGGAGGCAGCTGGTCGATGTTTCTCTCTCATCGATGTTTCTGACTCTCTATCTCTCTACCTTCCTCTCTGTAAAAAAATCAATAAAATATATTTAAAAAAAAATAAAAATAAAAGCGTCATCTTGACATTGAGGTCAGTCCATGTTACCATGGGCCTGGCTCTTAACACCATCTGCAAATCTGTTCATTATTGACCAACCCATTTTCATGCCCGTGTTTTAATGGATGTAAACTTGGGCAAGAATGATTTACTCATATTTTATGTTTCAATAAAATTTTCCAGCTGAGCTATTGCTGGTGTTGGCAGTGGTCAGAGGCAGTGGTCGGAAGTCGATTCAGACTTTGTTTCCATGATATGAAGACAAAATGCTGAAATGCTTAGATGTTTTTACCCTAGATATAACCAACACCTGGGACACAATAAAGTGAGTGAAGTTTCAGATGAGTCAATAACAGTGAAAAATTATATTTAAATATAATTTCTATACATTTTGAAGTATGAAATTTTTATTATAATCTCTCTAATTTTGTTGCTAAAGATATTTTCAATAAAGTTGGACATTCTGTAGGCAAAAATAAGGACTGGACCCTCCCTGTGGAGAGAGGGTGAAGCGGCCCCGAGGGCAGGGCTGGCTTGGGCAGTAGCGCCTGGCGGACCCCCAGGTCCCTGAGTGCAGGGGGTGGGTTGTCTGCTTCCTCTGCCCATGGGAGGGTGAGCGTTGAGCGCCATAATGTGCGCGAGGGAAGGAAGCGTTTTCTGGAACGATGACAACGAAGTTTTTATTAAGACGGTGGGGTGTCACGGCTCAGATGCTACAGGTCAGGCACCGTGGCCCCACGTGACATGTCTGGACGCAGCGGGGGGAGGGCTGCAGCGGGGCTGCGGCAGATCTGGGTCCACAGGAGTGGAGACGGTGCGAAGCGGGGAGTGCGCAGTGTGTGTTCCCGTCCACGGCCCAGCCGCGGCCACGCTCGGGCTGCCTTGGCCTGGCCCCTGGCCTCCGGCTCTGGCTGCAGGAGAAACACCCACACAAAATGGGGAAGAGACAGAGGCACAGATGGCGAGGCCTGGGGTGTGCACACAGCCTCTGTCCTGGCGCGGCCTCCACCATGGCCCCTGAGTTCATGTTCGTCATCCGAGCTGCCCTGGGCTGCCACCCGCCCCCCGTTTTGCTGGGCAGGAGATGCTGGCGGGAGCACAGTGCTTGCCAGCTGTTGATTAGGTTGCCGGTTTGATGTGAGCAGGTGGAAGGTGGGAACAGAAAACCTAAATGGGGCGCCTGGGAGGGAGGCGGTCTGCACAGGCCGGGAGTCCAACCCTCAGGGGCCCAGGACCCAGGGCGGTGCCCTCTGGCCAGCAGGTGGCGCCACAAGCGTCAGAACGGGCGGCACCATCTCTTCAAGGCAGATTCGTATTTCTGAGACCTTAGCCAGGGGTGTGGGTGCATCACTTACCGGTTCCCAGGAGACTCCCCTCCCCTCGCTTTTCATCGACTGGCCTTGCAGATTCGGGGAAAGGGGGAACCGGTTGAAAATAAAATTGTGCACATTTCTCTAGTGGCTGACGTGTTACTCTGAGGGCTCGGGAGGGTCGGAGAGGTGGCCTCCAGGCACCCTGCGCTGGGTCCCAGGACCCCCGTGCCCAAATATCTCCCCCATGCTGAGCAGCCGCTCAGCCTCGGGGGGTACCCGGTGCCGCAGGTAGTGGGCGTTGGCGGCCCTTGCCAACACCTCGCGGAAGGAGGGGGCCCCCGGGGACACGTGCTCCCTGGCGCAGAGGTCGGGCTGTAGGCCTGTGGCCTCTGGTCTGGCCTCGCCGAGGGCCCCGCCACGGTCACCGGCTGGGCTGGCCCCGGGGCCAGGGGCTGTGGAGCAGGTGGCGGCGGCTGGGTCGGGCGGCATCTCCCCTGCGAGGGGGGAGGTCACCTGGCTTTGAGGCGGCGCCTGCTCTTTGCTTCTCGTGGGGCCCTCGAGGCCATCGTGGCAGGAAGGAGGCCCCTGGGGCCGGGCCCCATGTGCTTCCTGGGCTGTGTTGGTGGCCAGGGCTCTGGGAGGGGTGAGAAGAGGAAGGTTCTCTGAAGCCCATGAAGATGCCCATGTGTTGAATTTCCAAGTGATTGCACCGCGGCCCCACATGGGGTGTTAGCCAGGCCACAAGGAGGGTGTGTGCTGCCCAGGGGTGGTGTTTCCTCAGGGAGGGGCCCTGGCAGGGACAGCGGGAGGAGGTGGGTGGGTGCGGAGGGGCTCACCTGGCTCCAGTGGCCCGGGGGGCCCCGAGGTCCCCTCCCTGCTGCGGGCACACGGGGGCGCCTCCTGGTCTCTGCTGAACTCGGTTCCCGGGGGAGGAGGGGCACTTGCCCTTGCGGTCTGCTGGGAGGAATGCATGCCTGTCATGGGTTGAATTGTGTCCCACACTGATCCCTCGAAGCCCTGACCCTGGGCAGCCTGTGGCATTGGCGGAAGAGCCTTACAGAGGCGCTCGGGCACCATGAGGGCACCAGGGTCCCTAGTTGGACGGGACTGGTGTCCATCACACGGGGAGATCGGACGCAGACACCTGAGGGGGAGACGTGAGGGGAGACAGGAGGGAACACAAGGGGGAGGAGGCCTAGAGGTTGCCTGGGCTCGCTCCTCCCTCCCAGTGAGCAGCCTGGCCACACCTGAGTCTGGGTCCCAGCCTCCAGGGCGGGGCATGACTGTTGTTGAAGCCCGGGCTGTGGGTAGGACGCCCAGACCCAGGGCAGTGCGGGAGGAAGGAAGAGAAGCTGAAGCCGTCTGTGCCTGGGCCATGACCGCCGCCCCGGGACCTCCAATGGACGCTAAGGCACCAGGCGTCTGCCCGTTTGCCTCGAGGCCTCTGGGGGATGACAGAGCACTTGCCCTTTGGCTTAAGGAGAGCGAGAAAGCCCAGAGTGGACGCGGTGCAGGGTGTCCAAGTGTCCCAGCCTCAGCAGCGTGTGCGGCCGGAAGGCCCTGGGAGGCCGGGCAGTGGGCAGAGCTGGGAAAGCTTGTGCCCCCCTGTCTGCTCAGCGGGGCCGAACCCTGGGGCTCAGGTTTGACCCCTTCCCTAAGGTGTCCTCAGGCTCACCACTGCGTTGAGTGGTACGGACCCGGCATGGAAAAGAGGTGAAACCCACTCAAAGGGGCACGAAGGGAGAGTAGAATGAAAAGCAAAGCGAGAAAGCAGGAGACCAAGGGTTCGAGCGCGGAGAGCGAATTGAAAGAGGGCCTGGCCTCAGCTGGAGGTCAGGGGTGGGCGCTCCAGGAGCTGCGAGGGCCTGGCCCCGACCCACCCCACCCACCTCCCGGGGTTACCTTGCTGCAGCCTCTGCAGCTGTTTCTGCAGCTGCCGCTGCTCCCAGGCCAGCAGCCTCAGGTGGCACAGGTGGGCTTGCTCGAGTCTCTGCAGATGCTGGCTGAGCCTGGCCTCGGCCTGCTTGGCGTGCTTCCTCTCCAAATCCAGCTGCTTATGCAGTGGCCCCCTGGCCATGTGCCGCTCCGACCCCTTCATGCTCTCCCAGGCGACACGGAGGCCCCGACACAGTGAGTGGGCGCCTGGCCTGGCCTCTCGGGCGGGTCTGAGCTGCGCTGCCTGCCTGTGAGGTGGAGGCGCACTGTTGGGAAGTCTGCTCTGCCGTGAATGAGATGCCAGGGACCCAGAGGACGGAGGGCAGTCGCTTCTCTGAGCCCCGCCTCTGCCCAGAAATCCGTGGTAGATGGAGTGTCCCCCCCCCCCCGTCCACCCCCCCCCCCTCTCCCCCAGGACCTGCTGTAAGATCAGGGGAAGCACACAGGACTCTGGGGAAAGAAAGGCAAGGCTGTCTGTGGAGACGGCATCGCCACCCACGGGAGTGCCGCCTGCCTTCCTCGGTGTCCTGCTCAGGGCTCCCTTCCCTTCATTCACTCACACACGCAGGTCTGTGGCCTGTAACGGCCGTGCCAGCCGCTCTGGGAGGACGGGGTCCCGTGGGAGGGAGATTTCAGGTCGGTGACTTGGGGGCCAAATCGGAACAATCACTTTCAAAAGTGCAAAGAGTGGGACCCGCTGGTCCAGGCGCTGCCCCCCTGGGCCTGACACAGCCCTCGGGTTACCTCAGCCTCTCTGTTCCCAGAACCGCCCCCTCCTCCCTCTGGACCCTGAGGACCAAGCCCAGGGCGACTTCTCCCTGCTCGGGTCTCCTGGCAGTAAGGGCAGGGACAGGTCTCCCGCTGGAGCCCGGGGTTAGTGGGTTTCCATCGATAGTGATAGTATTGTGGTGGCAAGATAAGGTCAGGACGAGGGAAGACGAGCGAGGACACAGGAGAAGCTAGGCAGCCGCTCTGTGGACCGAAGGCCAGGTGAGCAGCACTTACCTGCGAGCCCGGCTCCCCCGGAGGACGCTGCTCCCTCCTCTGCGCTGGGTAAGGAGCTGAGCTGCGCTTCTTGGGTCCAGGGGTCTGGTGTGGGGAGCGAGGCCAGCTGGAGCCAGAGCGGAATATGCTTCAAAGCTCGCAGAGCCTGTGTCCCGCTCAGGAATGCTGGCTGCCTGGCAGGCTCGCCCCAGGCTCTGAGTCCCGCCCCCCCAAGGGTCCCGCCCCTTACTGTCCCCGTGTCCATGGGAGCCCAGAGTGGAAGCCAGGCATGTCCGTGCTCGCACCCCCTTCTTCCTCCGCTGAGCCCTGCCCCTCCTGTCCCCATTCCTGCTCCTGGGAAACCAGGCCAGGCCCGGAGACGCAGAGTGGTTTCTGTCTGTGCTCGTCTGCGGGCAGGAGGGACCCGCTTCCAGGCGCCTCTCACCCCCGGGGCTCCTACCCTGTCCCCCCATGTTAGTGCCAATGATAAGATTTCCCAGGCTCAACCCAGAGCCGGACGGGAAACTGTAGGTGCTTCGGGATCGTCTCAGGGACAAGGCAGGCGGCCAGGCCCCTGTGGGTTATGGAACGAGGTGTCAGTGGGATTTTGGCTGTTGCCGTGGGCGTCATCCGAGAACAAGAGGCATGAATGCTCCGCGGGGTTTACTCATCTCCAGAACCTCCCAGGAGGCAGCCAGGCCGGCCTGTTCCCCACGGCCCCCCTCACACAGGCTTTGTGGGGATCTCTGAGGGGGCTGCTCTCAGTGGGGAGCGCTCCCTCCCCCGTCCTCCCAGGACACCACGCTGCTCCTCCTGAATGCCAAGCCTGGGCCAGGGGTTCCCGGAGAACCACCAGCCAGAGGGCGCCTCGCCCCCATCGGGGACCTGGCAGGACCACAGAGCAGCCCATGCCCACCTGGTGGCCCGGAGCTGAGCACAGCGAGGGGGCTCAGGGGAGAGTTACCCCTCCACCCTGGGCCGCCCTAGAGGAAGCTGCCAGGGCAGGTTCGCAGAAGGGCCCCGAATTTGAGGGGCAAGAAGGAGCCCGAGTGTGGTGACTCGGGAGGGAATGGGGCCAAGCCCCGGGGTGCAGAGGGCCCCGGGCTCCTGGTCCTGCAGGAGCGGGGCTGGAGGAGGGAGCAGAGGCCGCGGCCTTGCCCTGGGAGACGCCAGGTCCAACGAGGTCATACTTCTCATACTTCGCCCAGAGCGCGCAGAAATGGCAGGGCCGCGGGCTCCTGGTCCTGCAGGAGCGGGGCTGGAGAAGGGAGCAGAGGCCACGGCCTTGCCCTGGGAGACGCCAGGTCCAACGAGGTCATTCATCTCATACTTTGCCCAGAGCTCGCAGAAATGGCAGGGCCGCGGGCGGACTGCAGGGGAGCGTCCTCAGCACAGCCAAGAGCAGAAAACAGCGGGGCGCCCAGACCAGGAGTGCTGCTCATCAGGAAGGACCTGCCTGGTCCCTCCCTCCTGTCCTCAAGCTCAGGGGCGCAGTGCTGGGGAGACGGGAGAGGAGGACTCGGAACCAAGGACCCCCAGGGTTGGAGGCTGCAGCGACAGAGCAGGTCACCCTCCCTCCCCTCCTGGGACTCAGGGAGGAAGGGATTAAATGACGTGGGATCCGACTCAGTGCGAACTGGACTCTGGTGGAACCACGGTGGCCAGGAAAGTGTAGGGTCTGCCCGCCATCCTCAAGAGCCAGAATGCAAATGAACGACAGACGGAGGAAGGCCGTCACTTTCAGCCTCTGACGAGGTCACAGGCCAGGCCACGGGCCTTAACCCGGGGGCGTGGGGGGACTCACGGTGGCCTCACCGACATCGCTCACAGCCACCGCTCAGTCCCAGGGACCGAGAGGAGAAACCCAGTGCCCAGCAGCGTGAGCGCACGGAGAGGCACCGCCGGAAACTGCTTCCCCTGAGTCAATCAGACCGTGAAGTCTGGCTCCCAACGCACAGGATTCTGGGGGAGCTAATGGACAAGCTGAGAAAGCAAGTCCGAACGTGGGTCTTTCTAACCGGTGACCTGGTTTCTCTGACGAGTCAATAGCAAGGGGTGCGGGGGGGTGGGCGAAGAAAGGGCCTCTGGCCTGGTGATCAGCACTCAGCACTCGAGAGACACAGCCAGAGCAGCCGGCCTGCTTAGACCCGCCTCCACCGCCTGCCTGGAAGGCGCCCTTGGGACAGGTGGGCATTTGAAGGGGAGTGGGTGTTAGAGACGTAATGTTCTTGTGGATTTGCTGGTTGGGCGCTTCTGTTAGTAAGATCCTTATCAGTCGGCACCGCCTGACTGAGTACAAGGAGGGGACGTGTCTGCTCTCAAGCACGCCAGCCAAGTAAGATAAACTACCATGTGCATAGTTGTCTGCAAAGGGGAACATGGTGACGCCTGAAGCTGGCACTAAAGGGTTTATTAGATGATTCTTTCTAAATTTGGAAATGTTTTAGGTTTTCTATAGTAAGTGCTTAAACATGTGTGAGGCAGCCAGGTGGAGGGGAAACTGATGACGGCCACAGGAGTGACAGCCACGGGAATGACAGCCACGGGAATGACAGCCACGGGATGTCCAGAATCAGGTCAGTAATGAACACGCTCAGGTAAGACGCAGGCAGGACATGGGTATTTGGACAACATCACGGCAAACTCAGCCTCAGGAATGTCCTCAGCCTCCCTCCTCAGCAGTCGGGGAAAGTACACAGTTTTCTCATACCACACGCCCCACCTTTCGCCTAACGGCTCTGCACAGGACGCCGTCTCCATGGTGACACGCCCATGTCTGCCCCACCTACATGCTAAACATCCACCTCCCCTGACACGAGTGTCCCTGGGCCACCAAAACAGAGTCCCACAAACTGGGCGGTTTATTTTACTTATTTACTTTTTAATATTTGTTCAATTGATTAGGTGACATTGGCCAACATGAACATAGGTTTCAGGTGTGGGTTTCTATGCTAGAAGATCTGTGCCCACCATGTGCCCACCACCCGAAGTCACATGTTCTCCTGTCACCTCATATCAGGACCCCTTCTGCCCCCCACCCCTTCCCTCCGACAACCACCTCACTGCTGTTTGTGTTCATGACTTTTAGCTTTATATCCCACATATGAGTGAAATCATATGGTCCTTAGCTTTCTCTGACTCCTTTCACTTCGCATAATGTTCTCAAGGTCCACCATGTTGCTGTAAATGACGCTATTTCCTCCTTTCTCAGGCTGAGCAGTGATGCACTGCGCATGTGGACCACATCCTCTCTGTCCGGTCCTCTATCGCAGGCACTTTGGCCACTGTGAATAATGCTGCAATGAACATAGGGGTGCATAGATCTTTGAGAATACATGATTTCAAGTTTTTTGGGTATATTCCCAGGAGAGGGATCACTGGGTCGTAATTTTTTGAGGAATTGCCAGACTGCTTCTCATAATGGCTGCACCTGTCTGCATTCCCGCCAGCAGTGAGTGAGGGTTCCCTCTTCTCACAGCCTCTCCAACACTTGTTGTTGCTTGTCTTGTTGGTAATGGCCACTCTAACAGATGTGAGGTGCATCTCATTGTAGTTTTGATTTGCATTTCCCTAATTGCCAGTGAGGCTGGACATCTTTTCATCTATCTATTGGCTGTTCGTATGTCTTCTTGGGAGAGGTTTATTTTCAGGTCCTCTGCCCAATTTTCGATTAGATTTTTTGTTTGGTGTTGAGTTTTATGAGATCTTTATTTATTTTAGAAATTAAACCTTTGTTGGAGCTACTGTTTGCAAATATCATCTCCCATCTGGTTGGCTGCCTCTTTGTTTTGTTATCAGTTTCTTTTGCTGTGAAGAAGCTTTTTAGTTTGATATAGTCCCATTCATTTATTTCTGCCTTTACTTTCCTTGCCTTTGGGGTCAAGTTCATAAAATGTTCTCTATGACCAAGGTCCATAAGTTTGGTACCTATATTTTCATCTATGCAACTATTGTTTCAGGTCTTATATTTAGGTCTTTGATCCATTTTGAGTTAATGTTTGTACACGGGAACAAACTGCAATCCAGTTTCATTCTTCTGCATGTGGCTTTCCAGTTTTCCCAGCCCCATTTATTGACGAGACTATCTTTACTTCACTGCGTGTCTCTGACTCCTTTGTTGAAAATTCTCTCTTTGTCTAAACATATGGTTTTATAGCTGGGCTCTCTATTCTGTTCCAT